GCGTTTGGTGCTCCGGCCTCCGATGCAAAGCCGCCAGCGGAGTCGGTCGTCAAGACTCCGTTTGGTGCTCCGGCCTCCGATGCAAAGCTGCCAGCCGGGTCGGTCTTCAAGAGTGCGTTTGGTGCTCCGGCCTCCGATGCAAAGCCGCAAGCCGAGCCGGTGTTCAAGAGTGCGTTTGGGGCATCGACGTCGGGTGATTCAAGGATTTTGGGGGGCTCTTCGTTCAGCAGTGGACTAGGCATTGGCTCATCAGGGGTGTTTGATGGTGCTTCTGCAGCTGTGAGTAATAATCATGTCCCCTCTGTGATTGGGTGTGGTATGCCAAATGCTTTATCGGCTTTTGTGGTTCCCATGATTCCTTCCGAGTATGATGTCGATGCTAGTGGTGTGTCGGTATCGGAGTGTTTCAAGGAGGTTGTGACTCGATTTAAGTACCCGATTATACCTTCTACTGGTGAGGAGATGCAGAGCTTTATAAAGACTTTCGCCAAGGATGTTGAATGTGCGAATGAAATCGTTGTAAGTAATAATGGGACTTTTGATGTGAATAATATATCTGTGAGGGCTCGTGAATTTGAGCAAATGTTGGCTGTGTTCCGAGAAGAGTTACTTGAAGAGATAGGGTGTCAGCTGGAGAAATTACGTTTGGCCTTGCTCCAGACTTCTAGGGATACGCACGTCGTACTACCCGCAGCATCGGGGGATCCTATACCCCCTGTGGGTCGCGAAAGAAGTGCATCTGTTTGTTACTCTCAAGCGTTGCGAGCTCACTTGTCAAATGCGTTTCGTAAGTATTATTAATGTGGTGATGCAGTATTTAATGCCGAGGAGTAATCACAAACCTCTGCTGATGTGCACCAGGTATGGTGCGTAGCAACGTTTCCGTTTATTATTATTATTTTTTACTCGGGACTCCTGAAGAGAATGTGAGTCCAGGTGTGATTTTGTATTGCATATCAGAGTTTGTTAGTGTATTATTTCTACTTTTTTTTTCTGTGCTTCCTTTTGTAGGCATTTAATTTTGGGGTGAAGAGGTGCATGAGGTGTTTTTACTTTGTCTTGTCCAGTGACAATGAAGCAGATGCATTTGTAGTGTGTTTGTGGGCTTGGTTTTGTGCCTGGAGACCGAGCGAGATAGACTTAGGGGGCATGTCCCAGAGTTGGTGCGCCAACAGCCAGGAGACACATACTCGCGTTTGTGCATTGTCTTTGCTTCGGCTTTATTGATGGAGGGTATCTTGCAGTATTTTCTGGCTGCTTTTTTGTTTCTTTTGGGTTGTCAGTTTGGGTTCTTTCTGCATGTGCAGCTGGAGGCAAATTATGGGAAGCCTGAGGTCAGGATAAATCGCGAGACGGATTTTTATGATCCGCGTTCCTGGAGCTGCTAACATGGGAGGGAAGTTGTATTGCTTTCATGCAACCCCGAGGTTTTTGAGGTTCTGTTGTGGGGGAACGGTGCGGTGAAGGTGGAGCAAGAGAAATCCTCAGGGAGTTGCGTAGGGACAAAATTGAGCAGTAGTTGATGGGCCGCCCAGCTTTTCCAACAGGCAGCTGCGAAAATCAAAATTTGTTCCGACCGGAGAAATATGAGGGGATTATCGTCTGAGCAGTATTTACATGCATCGTGTGAAAGGTTGGCATCACACTTTGGCGGCGACAAGGTGGTATGGGGACGATGCGAAGCAAGTGGGGCTGTTCTCATTCCAAGGGGTGTAAAGGGCACAAAGCTCTCTGGTAGGCAGATCAGAAAGGGCCAGAGGAACGTTGTCGGCCATGGATCTTTACGAGCTGCCGCTTTGGGTTTGCGGTGGTGAAATGGGGCTTTTGGTTGTGGGCGGTGGGCGCTTCACTGCTCCTCAAACGATCGGGAAAATTCAAATACGGACAGCTTTGCTTTCAATCGTGCGACACGGCGCATTTGACTTTGGTGGCATTGGCGTGTTGGGTTGGGCATTGCCGTTGAAAGGGATGAACGTGAGTTTTTATGTCCCAACCATTTCCCGGTGAGATGCTCGTACGTGTGGTGTGCGTGTCGTCGCCGGGATGGGCCGATTTGCCCTTGCAGCTTTACTGCAAAGGCGGATTTGGCATCGAGGAGCTGCGGGAGTACGATGGTTATGGGGAGTCGACGAAACGGCAACGACCAAAAAGAACGAACACTCCGCATCTGCGAATTCTTCGGTGTTATTTCGATGATGATTCCCGGACGAGCGCCATGCGTGCTCTTGCGGCCGTCGAATTAGCGTGTTTTTTTTTTTTACTTCGACTTTATTCTTTGTTTCTTCCCACTCTTTCAATCTTTTTTTTTTTTTTTTTAGTTGGCACGCTGTTTAGGAAAGAGGCAACGTCAAGGAGATTATATCTTGTATTGATTTATTTGTGTTTCTTTTTTTTTGTTTGAGTTTGGTGTTCTTGACCGCTTGTGAGTTTCGTGGTTTGACGAATATGACTGCGCCTCCCACACGACTTGATGCCGTCTGTGAGGCAGTGCATGGAGACTTTGCATCGTGTGGGGCTACAAGTCTACAGGAGCTGTGCCAGCAGGTGAGGCGGCTGCGCATCAATGTGCAACGCCTGGCATCCGAGCAGATACCGTCGCTCGATGTGGACATCACCGCTCTTCAGGAGCCGCACCTGCGCGTAGCGATGCACACAAATGTTCATGCGGGCGTCAACGGAAGCATGTCAACACCAGGGAATGCAATTGTTGGTGCCGAGTCGCTCCTTTCGCACTGTAGGAATCTCACTGCAGACTTTGCACGTGGGTCGCACAGGATGCCGGACAAGCAACGCCTTCAAACCACAATATACGCGGTAGGCTACACGCCCCATTATCATCAGAAAAAACTTCCTTTATACAAGTCTACAGAATCACCTGAAAGATATCCGATTCAACAACAAACACAAAATACAGCTGCGTCCTTGCAACCCACCAATGCCAAAAGCTCAATCCAACAGAAAGAACCCATTTGCAGTGAGACAACAACACAGGCGCCTTCAAATGAAGAGGAAATAACAGTTCAAGCATCCTTTGCAAATAAAATACACCAAACATCACCACCTGCAAAACCCACAAGAGAACTCAAGCCACCACCGTTTGGTCAGGCTGCAACGGGTGACAAACCAACACCGTTTGGACAGGCTGCAACGGGTGACAAACCATTGCCGTTTGGTCAGGCTGCAACGGGTGACAAACCAACCGTTTGGACAGGCTGCAACGGGTGACAAACCA